CCGCGACGTGGCTGATTTTCCCTTTCTAATCCGTGATTGTCTGTAGACCCTGCCAAATACGTCTCATGTCTGAGTCATTGATTTGCGACTCCACTTTGTCTCTGTACTGACTTTTTGCCTGCTTGATTGCCTTACGGAGGGAATAACTACACTGTTAGTATTCGACCATATTCCCAGTCACCTTGCCATGGTTAAATGCGGTGGTTCGTGCATTCAGTTTTGCGCGAATGCTGCCATCTATCCACGGTTTCTGGTTTGTGTAGGTTTTAATAGTCACAGTGGGAACAACATCCCCTATACACTTCCTGATGAACTGAGTCACCGTGTCCGTGTATACGTCAATGTTATTCTCAGAGGCTACCCAGAACATATCCCAGTCCACGTGATCAAAACAATCTTGAAGTATGGATTCCGATTGGTCAGACCACTGTTGAATAGACCTTAGCACGGGTACTTCCCGTTTGAGCTTCTGTCTATAGGAAGGGAGGAGCAAAATGGAGACGTGATCTGATTTGCCGAAGGGAGGGCGGGGGAGGGACTTGTAGGCATCTTGAAAGGGGGAGTAGCAGTGGACAAGTGTTTTTCCAGAGCGAGTACTAAAGTCAATGTGTTGAAAGAACTTCGGTAGCGTTTTCCTCAAATGTGCTTTGTTAAAATCCCCTGCTACAATAAATGCGGCCTCAGGATATGTGGTTTCCAGTTTGCATAAAGTCCAGAGTAGTTCCTTGAGGGCCATCGTGGTATCAGCTTGATGGGGAATATACACGGCTGTGACTATAACTGAAGAGAATTCTCTTGAGAGGTAATACGGTCGGCATTTGATTGTGAGGTATTCTAGGTCTGGTGAACAAAAGGACTTGAGTTTATGTATGTTATCACAATCACACCATGAGTAGTTAATCATGAAACATACACCACCGCCTTTCTTCTTCTCTGAGAGTTCTTTATTGCTGTCTGCGCGATGTACTGTAAACCCAGCTGGCTGTATGGACGGGGACAGTATACCCCTAGAGAGCCATGATTCCGTGAAACAGAGTATGTTACAGTCCCTGATGTCTCTCTGGAAGGAGATCCTCGCCCTGAGCTTGTCTACTTTATTGTCCAGAGACTGAACATTAGCTAGTAATATACTCAGAAGCGGTGGATTGTGTGCACGCCTCCTGAGTCGGACTAGAAGTCCACTCCGAATAGCTCTTCTCCGCCGGGGGCCTCTTGGAGCAGCCTCTGGGATAAGTTCAATTGCCCAGGGGGGTACGAACAAAGGATCCAATTCGGGAAAGTCGTATTTCTGGTCATAATGCTGGTGGGTTACCGCCACTCTGATATCCCAAAGTTATTTCTGGCTGTATGTAATAACACAAAAACATTCTGGGCTAATAATGTAAGAATTAACACACAAAAAAACAAAATACTGCAAAGTTGCTTAGGAGCTAGAAGCAGAGCTGCCATGTCTGTCAGCGCCATCTAAATCAACTCAGCACAATAGCTGACCATTAGTTCAAATATCCAGTACTTAAGTACAGTAATTTTTTTAAGACAGAGAGCTATTAGAGCTTACACCACTGTTGAAATACCGGCATAGTAGTATAAACCATTCTCTCAAAAGCTTTGCCTTTGAATGGGGAGGCTCAGCCTAAACCTTTCAATGTGTTTGATACCATTGCATTTATACCATTTCAGCCATTATTATGAGCTGTCCTCTCCTCAGCTGCCTCTTGTGACAGTGCCTAGTGAAAGTCTACCCACCCCTCGCAGTCTTCACATTTTGCTGCCTTAAAATGTTATTTAAACATTTATTACATTAGATTGTTTTTCTTACCGATGTACACAACCTACTCCACATTATCAAAGTGAAAGAAAAATTATAGAACATTTTCCTAATGAATAAATTGATTGTGTATGTCTTCACACCCCAGAGTAAAAACTTGGTGGAAGCACCTTAGGCAGCCATTACAGCTGTGTATCATTTTGAATAAGATTCTACCAACTTGGCCAACACTGTTTTCTCTGCTACCGCACGGCAAGCGGTATCAGAGCGCCAAGTCTAGGTCCAAGAGGCTTCTAAACAGCTTCTACCCCCAAGCCATAAGACTCCTGAACATCTAACCAAATGACTACCCAGACTATTTGCATTGCCCCCCCCCCCCATCCCCACCCCCTCTTTTACGCTGCTGCTACTCTGTTTAATATCTATGCATAGTCACTTTAACTCTACCCACATGTACATATTACCTCAATTTGTTGTATTCGGCGCATGTGACAAATAACATTTGATTTCATTGCATTAGTGCAACATATACCCATTGTTTTTGTCAACATTACTCAAGCTCAGCGAATTTGGTTGAGAGTCATTGATGGACAGCAATATTCAAACCTTGTCTCTGATTTTCATTCAGATTTAAATCAGGAATGAGACATGACCATTCCATAACACTCAACACCTATTGGAAAACCAACACCTATTGGAAAACCATTCTGGTGTGTCTTTTTCATTAACATTTGTGTAATTGTCCCACTGAAAAATACAAATCTATCCCAGGGTTAAGTATTCAGAAGACTGAGGCAGGGTTTCCTCTAACTTTTATCTGGGTTTTGCGCATTTCACATTGATTTTGATCATGACAAACTCCCCAATCCCTACCGGTAACATGATGCTGCCACCACAAAACTTGAAAATAAAGAAGGTTTCATTCCCCTGGGCAAGGTCATAAATAACATAGCCCCCAGTCACACTATCTAGAAGACAGTAGATGCTCTGCTCAATCAATGGTGCCCTTGGGTGAGGCTGGATTGATGGGTGGTGACACTGATACAAGATGAGCTCCTGGTTTATGGAAGGTCACACATGGGAATGTAATGAAGCATGGGCTCGCCTTACACACCTACTGGATCTTCTCTCACTTTATCAACTGGATTGATTGTTTCATCCCAGTACTATACTTTCCAGCTGAGATTAAGTTTGAACAAATGCCCCACAGACTGATTACCACCTCAATACTTTGGCAAGCTGCTGTTTTGAACATGAGTCAGAAAATCTATGAGAATTGGAGGGCAAAGATGTTGCAAAGTTATGTTGATTGATTATCTATTTGTTGATTGTATATATTTCTATTCATGGTGGTTGGAGTGAAAGGTATTCTCTCAACCCAAGGAGGAAGACTTAAGGCATCAGCATGCTTCAGTTCGGCTGGCGCCTAGCTGCATACTCCCTTAAAAGACCTTCACTTGAAAAACCTGAAAAAGCGGCAATAGTACTGTTTGTCCATTTTGAGACACTGTAGCCAGTATACACTTCCTCAAAATAGTCTGAATTAATCTACGATAACTAAAGAAATCAGTCATTAATTTTAAAGTTTTTGCTGAACTTCCAAGATGTTTGGTGCAGTATTTTTCAATGTAAAAATGTGCATGAAAACGAGTCGTCTCTCGTTGAACGACAGCAAAGACTTGATTGAAGAATACCTACTGTTGACCAATCACCAACGAAGGGGCGTAGACTTCGGCTTGAAATTCGGCTTGCATCCAGAAGAAAATGTAGCGTGCCAGCCGAAAAACCCCTTGCCGAAGTCCAAAACGAACAAAAACGTCACAAAATGTCATCATAATATATGCACAAACTCTACGGAACTGTTTTGACTGGGAAGCATGCGGATACCTTTAGTGGTATGTAAAGGGGAGGTTCGGATTTGTCAGCGTCAATAAAAGATGAGATTGGTAGAGTAACTATGTGTGCCCAAGGTCATGCCAAAGTTAGCCAAGATGTTGCAAACAATATAAGTTGAGAAAGTGAACCAATCTCTAGTCTACATAGTCCCTGGCGTCTCTGAGGCAAAAATATATTATATTATTTAACTTACAATATCCTATGCAAATCAGCTTAGAGACTGTTAACCACATGTTATCAGCTGGAGGGTAATGGGTCAATGCAGTGAACGGCTAGCTACTAGGTATCAGAGGCAGAAGTATCACCGCTGCTATTTTGTGTTCAACCACAAGATGATGCAAAATATCTTCAATTTAAAAACCCTAACACTGTTTACATTAATTTATTTTAAGAGCATTAACAAATGTAATGCAATATGTAGCTTGTGTGTGACTAAGGGAGAGAGGGAGGTAGGTAGGAAGGGAGTGAAGGTTTATGGAAGTCTGTTGGTGTTTATTTGGGGAGAGGGGAAATCAATCAAGTCCTGCAGCTGGCCTGGTGATGGACTGAAGAGGTGGAAATTAGGAGGGAGGAGGAGGAGAATGAGACAGAGCCAGCTGCAATTACAGCTGATCCTGAGTGGTACAGCGCTTTTACAGAGGCGAGAAAAAGAGGAGGGGAGAGAGAGAGAGCGAGAGAGAAAGAGAGAGAGAAAATGACAGAGGCTGGGGAGAGAGAGATGGAAGGAAGGGTGAGTGGCACCTCACAGATACAGCAAAGCAACTACAACGTAGAGCGGGGACTCTACTCCGAGAGTGAGAGAGAATGAGAGAGAGCGAGAGCGAGGGAGAGAAAGAGAGAGAAAGAGAGAAGGAGAGCTCTCTGTCTCTGGACATTACATAATTGATACTCATACTGAACAAGGCATGGAAGGGAGAGGAGGAGGCATTATAGAGAAAAAAGAATGGGAGAAGACCATGAAGATGAAGTGACAACAATCTCATTAGGTCGAACCACACTTTAATATGATAACAGAGCACCTTTTCTCCTGGGGACCCGTCAGATCATTAAGACAAGGAACATTAGCAGGAGCGAAAAGGGACTTTGGTTCAAGACCTAAAGTGAAGTAGATGACAGGACGAATAACACAGATGGACCATTCATTTTGTTTATCTCTCTTTGGACTCAGTTTGACGGAACCCTAAACAGCCCTGTGTGGATTCACAGCACAGGGATAGCCTGTAAGTGTGAGCTCACTCAGGGGAGGAGACGGGGGTGTGAGATTGGGGAGATGAGTCTGGGAGGATAACAAGCAGCTGTGTGGAGGAAAGAGCGGGCAGAGGAGGGCAGATCCACCATGTCCCTCAGTGGAAGGGGCAGTATATCCCAGGATGGGGGGCCAGTGGCCAGTAACGAGCGCAGGAACACACGAGTGAAGAGGGCTGTCCGCATCTCCAGCATCGTGGCTCAGGAGGTGAGTAGTCGGACTCTGACCTTGCTGTGAGACTGCATGGGACCACAGGCACTATTGGGAAAGAACAAGGGCATTCAAATAAATCCTAACTTTCAGGGGCTTTTAAATTGTAACATTCGATCTGTCAAGGATTAGTGTTCAGTTAAACAGAGGCACATTAATTGCTGTTGAAGGGGTGTCACAACTATTATTTTGCTGTGTGCATTAGCCTACATTATCTGTGTATTATCTTAATAGCATGTAGAGCCTATTTTGTTATTTTTGAGAGTTGTTTGGGTCATTGGTTCTCTTACTCCACTGTACAGGGTGCTTGAACAGTTTGTGTCATACTTAAGACATATTCAAAGAAGATGAATATGGTTCCAGACAGTGTACTTACGTCAGTATAAAGCCTATTCGGTGTGCTTCAGCCTGTGGAGGTTAGATTAAATCCAGACAGGTTGTGGAGATCCTTGGTGTGTTTTACTGTAATTAAAAACGTTCTGTGTTTTTCTGATCCATGAATATCTCTACTTGTGATAGGATTATTGGTCATAAGCTGTGTTTACCTGTACAAATGCCAACAAACAGTTACCTAGGGCCATACTACAGTGCGTGTGTGCACGCATGTGTGCATGTGTTTATGTGTTTGAGCAGATGCATACGTACATTATTTGCTTGTTTGCATGCCTGGTTTATGTAATATTATATTGTAATGTCATCAGTACATTAATATGGTAAGATACATGGTCTGTTATGCTAACGCCAGTCTGTTACGCTAACCTCAGTGTTATGTTACATCCTGTTGTGACTACCATTCTCACTGTTATTTTAGGATAAAAGCCACTCAACAAACAATGACAATCAACTTAAGGGGCTTGTTCTTAATGAGTAATCATTTCACTGTTAGTCTACACCAGTGGAGGCTGGTGGTAGGAGCTATAGGAGGACGGGTTCATTGTAATGGCTGGAATGGAATAAATAGAATGGAGTCAAACATGTGGTTCCCAAATGATCGAAACCGTTCCATTTATTCCATTACAGCCATTACAATGAGCCTGTCCTCTTATAGCTCCTCCAACCAGCCTCCGCTGGTCTACACTTGTTGTTTACAAAGCATGTGACAAATACAATTTGATTTACATCATGGGTAATGTAGTTCCTCTCAGAGGAGCCAGTGTCACTGACGTAGAATACACCCCCGCAGCCCCTGCAAGGCAAATATGTAGTGGCAGGAAATGAGCTCAGAGTTTCTTGAAAGTTGGGACAATCCTTGTCCGGCAGGGAAACGTAATTTTTATAGTTGGAAAAAAATATTTTGTTGCAATATTTGAGATTACAATGTACATTTAAGGGAATTTTACTTTACTTTCAATATTATGCCTGGAAATGCCCTTGTCTAGAACAAAGGATCCCAATTTCAATCTCTCAAAAAAAGTGTAAAAAAAAGGGCAATAATGGATATTAACTGAAAAATGATCTTATCATATGACCCATGGGGCGGCGCACAATTGGCCCAGCGTCGTCCAGGGTAGGGGAGGGAATGGCCAGCAGGGATGTAGCTCAGTTGGTAGAGCATGGCGTTTGCAACGCCAGGGTTGTGGGTTCGATTCCCACGGGGGGCAAGTATGAAAAAATAAAAAATAAAAATAATGTATGCACTCACTTAAATGTAAGTCGCTCTGGATAAGAGCGTCTGCTAAATGACAAAAAAAATAACATTAAAAAAAATGTAGTTTCTTGCAATAGCCCTCCGTAACTTTAAATCATATTTCTCTCAAAGCTCAAAGCTCAATTCCGTCAGATTTGTCTAAAATCCTAAATTAATCAGGAATGAACAGGGTCAACTATACCATAAGGACCCCTTATTCATGTCCTCATTACATGTAGTGCACTCATGGTCTGTAAAGTTCTCTACTTTTGATAGATTTAAACAAACAAAATTGGAATCATCATGGTCACAACCATAAACTGTCAACTCCATCTGCCTGATAGATTAAGATAGAATATGAATTTCGGTTCAAATACAGTATGTTACATTTAATTAGGTTTTAGAGTCATAAAGCAACTGAGGAAAAACAAAATTGCTACTGTGTATACAACTCCGTAAAACATGAACTCCGTCAGATTTTTGTCTAACGTCAACTCCGTCAGAGTGCTGAAAGACCTGATAGAATGGTTATGTTTTTATTGGGGATTGTCAAAATTAATAATTTTCCATATTTTACAAATGTTTGTATTGAACTTTTATTTTTAGAGGCAAATATATGTCTGTTTTGTGTATCCGTTGACAACTCCGTCAGTGGTTTGTCAACTCCATCACTAATGGAGTCAATATTTTTTTGTCAATAATCAGAAAAACATATTTTAATCACTGTTCTGCAACATATGCTTAAACAATTTAAGTATTTGCTGTGCTAGACCCAAGGGATAATGTTTGCTTTATAAATGTTTTATTTTATCGAAATCTAGAAAAACATGCCAAAATTCTAACAAATCTAGCCGTGGAGCATTAATAGTGCTATAAAACAAACAAAAAATAAGTTTGGAGATTTGTATTATAAATGTTGGACAATAATTGTAAAAATTAAATGCCTTTTATGGTGTCTGACGGAGTTGACATACAGCGCATTCAGAAAGTATTCAGACGCCTTGACTTTTTCCACAATTTGTTACGTTGCAGCCTTATTCGAAAATGGATTACATTGTTTTTCCCCCTCATCAATCTACACACAATACCCCATAATGACAAAGCAAAAATAGTTTTTAGAAATTGTTTCTAAAAATCAAAAAATTAACTCAAATATCACATTTACATACAGTTGAAGTCAGAAATGTACATACACTTAGGTTGGAGTCATTAAAACTTGTTTTTCAACCACTCCACACATTTCTTGTTAACAAACTATAGTTTTGGCAAGTCGGTTAGGACATCTACTTTGTCGCATGACACAAGTAATTTTTCTAACAATTGTTTACAGACTATTTCACTTATAATTCACTGTCACAATTCCAGTGGGTCAGAAATTTACATACACTAAGTTGACTGTGCCTTTAAACAGCTTGGAAAATTCCAGAAAATGATGTCATGGCTTTAGAAGCTTCTGATAGGCTAATTGACATCATTTGAGGCAATTGGAGCTGTACCTGTGGATGTATTTCAAGGCCTACCTTCAAACTCAGTGCCTCTTTGCTCGACATCATGGGAAAATCAAAAGAAATCAGCCAAGACCTCAGAAAAATAATTGTAGACCTCCACAAGTCTAGTTCATCCTTGGGAGCAATTTCCAAATGCCTGAAGGTACCACATTCATCTCTACAAACAATAGTATGCAAGTATAAACACCTTGGGACCATGCAGCCGTCATACCGCTCAGGAAGGAGACGCGTTCTGTCTACTAGAGATGAACGTACATTGGTGCGAAAAGTGCAAATCAATCCCAGAACAACAGCAAAGGACCTTGTGAAGATGCTGGAGGAAACAGGTGCAAAATTATCTATATCCACAGTAAAACAAGTCCTATATTGACATAACCTGAAAGGCCGCTCAGCAAGGAAGAAGCCACTGCTGCAAAACCGCCATAAAAAAGCCAGACTATGGTTTGCAACTGCACATGAGGACACTTTTTGGAAAAATGTCCTCTGGTCTGATGAAACAAAAATAGAACTGTTTGTCCATAATGACCATTGTTATGTTTGGAGGAAAAAGGGGGTGGCTTGCAAGCCGAAGAACACCATCCCAACCGTGAAGCACGGGAGTGGCAGCATCATGCTGTGGGGTGCTTTGCTGCAGGAGGGACTGGTGCACTTCACAAAATAGATGGCATCATGAGGAAGGAAAATTATGTGGATATATTGAAGCAACATCTCAAGACATCAGTCAGGAAGTTAAAGCTTGGTCGCAAATGGGTCTTCCAAATGGACAATGACCCCAAGCATACTTCCAAAGTTGTGGCAAAATGGCTTAAGGATAACAAAGTCAAGGTATTGGAGTGGCCATTACAAAGCCCTGACCTCAATCCTATAGAAAATTAGTGGGCAGAACTAAAAAAGCGTGTGCGAACAAGGAGGCCTACAAACCTGACTCAGTTACACCAGCTCTGTCAGGAGGAATGTGCCAAAATTCACCCAACTTATTTTGGGAAGCTTGTGGAAGGCTACCCAAAACGTTTGACCCAAGTTAAACAATTTAAAGCCAATGCTACCAAATACTAATAGAGTGTATGTAAACTTCTGACCCACTGGGAATGTGATGAAATAAATAAAAGCTGAAATAAATCATTCTCTCTACTATTATTGTGACATTTCACATTCTTAAAATAAAATGGTGATCCTAACTGACCTAAGACAGGGAATTCTTACTAGGATTAAATGTCAGGAATTGTGAAAAACGGAGTTTAAACGTATTTGGCTAAGGTGTATGTAAACTTCCGACTTCAACTGTAAGTATTCAGACCCTTTAGCAGCGATTTGGCAGCGATTACAGCCTCATGTCTTCTTGGGTATGATGCTACAAGCTTGGCACACCTGTATTTGGGGACTTTCTCCCATTCTTCTCTGCAGATCCTCTCAAGCTCTGTCAGGTTGTGTGTGGAGCGTCGCTGCACAGCTATTTTTAGGTCTCTCCAGAGATGTTCAAATGGGATCAAGTCCGGGCTCTGACTGGGACACTCAAGGACATTCAGAGACTTGTCCCGAAGCCACTCCTGCATTGTCTTGGCTGTGTGCTTAGGGTCGTTCACCCTGTTGGAGGGTGAACCTTCGCCCCAGTCTGAGGTCCTGAGTGCTCTAGAGCAGGTTTTCATCAAGGATCTCTCTGTACTTTGCTCTGTTCATCTATCCCTTGATCCTGACTAGTCTCCCTGTCCCTGCCGCTGAAAAACATCCCCATAGCATGATGCTGCCACCACCATGCTTCACCATAGGGATGGTGCCAGGTTTCCTCCAGACGTGACGCTTGGCATTCAGGACAAAGTTCAATCTTGGTTTCATCAGTCCAGAGAATGTTGTTTGTCATGGTCTGAGAGTCCTTTAGGTGACTTTTGTCAAACTCTAAGTGGGCTGTCATGTGCCTTTTACTGAGGAGTGGCTTCCGTCTGGCCACTCTACCATAAAGGCCTGATTGGTGGTGCTGCAGAGATGTTTTTCCTTCTGGAAGGTTCTCCCATCTCCACAGAGGAACTCTGGAGCTCTGTCAGAGAGACCATTGGGTTCTTGGTCATCTCCCTGACCAAGGCACTTCTCCCCCGATTGCTCAGTTTGGCCGGGCGGCCAGCCCTAGGATTCCATTAAAGAATGATGGAGGCCACTGTGTTTTTGGGGACCTTCAATGCTGCAGAAATGTGTTGGTACCCCTCCCGAGATCTGTGCCTCGACACAATTCTGTCTCTGAGCTCTACGGACAATTAATTCGACCTCATGGCTTGGTTTTTGCTCTGACATACACTGTCAACTGTGGGACCTTATATAGACATGTGTGTGCCTTTCCAAGTCATGTCAAATCAATTCAATTTACCACAGGTGGACTCCAATCAAGTTGTAGAAACATCTCAAGGATGACCATTGGAAACAGGATGCACCTGAGCTCAATTTCGAGTCTCATAGCAAAGGTTCTGAATACTTACCGTACCAGTCAAAAGTTTGGACACACTTACTCATTCAAGGGTTTTCTTTATTTGTTGAGAGAATGCCAAGAGTGTGCATAGCTGTCATCAAAGCAAAGGGTGGCTATTTGAAGAATCTCAAATCACAAATATATTTTGATTTGTTTAACACTTTTTTGGTTACTACATGATTCCATATGTGTTATTTCATAGTTTTGATGTCTTCACTATTATTTTACTATTCTAATGTAGAAAATAGTAAAAATAAAGAAAAACTCTTGAATGAGTAGGTGTGTCCAAACTTTTGACTGATACTGTATGTAAATAAGGTATTTCTGTTTGTTTTTAAAAAATAAATTTGCAAAAAATTCTAAACCTTTTTTCGCTTTGTCATTATGGGGTATTGTGTTACAGGAGGGGGTCGCAGTTCCGGAGCGACCCACTAGGTGTCATCCTCCAACAACTTTAGACACCTCCTCACTCACAGTCTGGACTAATCATTATCTTATTGGTGTCACCTGTGTATACCTGTTCACCTGTGTATTTATGCCCTCACTTCCCTGTGTTCCCTTGCTCTGTTTTCTCTGCTAGTTCTCGATGCCAAACAGTACTAATCAGTGTCTGATCGCGAGACGTATGTACAGGTACTTGAAAAGTGTTCTCCCTGTTTCATTGTTGTTTTCAGTCATAGTTAGTATTTCGTATGTTTGCTGTCAGCCTGTTTTTGCTCCTCCTTTATTTTTTCGTGACAAGTCTGTTATTTTGTATCCTGCTTTTGGGACCACCAGTAATGATCCTTGTTTCACCATCTCTGCCTTCTGCCTACTGTATATCCTGCACCGCACCTGGGTCACACCTCACACCAACCCTTACAGAAAACAGAGGCAGCACAGTATCGCAGCGCATTGGCAATGCAGGGAGCTATGCTGACCTAGCACGACCGCAGCCTGCAGCAGATCACAGAGAATCTTCGCTGGCTGACGATTACCGTGCAGAGCCGGGTGGACACCCGACCAACCCCGGCAGCCGGCGAGCAGAAACCGCGGCAGCGTCGTCTCCAGTCTCGCCTGCGACATCGCAGGAACCCCGCCTACCACCGGAGAAGTACGACGGATGTCCAGAGGGTTGCAGGGAATTCCTCACCCGGTGTTCCCTGGTATTCAGCCTACAACCCTCCTCCTTCCCGATGGAGCAGGGCCGGGTGGCCTACATTATCACTCTGTTGACGGGTCGGGCCCTTTCCTGGGCTACCGCGGAGTGGGAGAGCCAAACTCCGGCGTGCCCCTGACTCCTACCAATTCACCCGGCAGCTACGCAAGGTGTTCCGGACCCGGGCTCGAGAGGCAGTATGGGAGGAGGCCGCCCTGGTCGTCCTTTATGCGCAGGGGCTATCGGAGGGGATGAAGGACGAACTCTCTTTCAGGGAGCTGCCTGAGCGACTGGACGGCCTAGTCGACCTCTCGGTGCGGGTAGACAATTGACGTCGTGAGAGGGTGCACAAGAGAGGGATGACGCAAGGCGCGCTTGTCCAGGATGGAGAAGCAGAGACGTCTGTACCAGGGACGTTGCCTGTACTGTGGCCAGGCAGGTTACCACTTCGACTCATGCACGGCGAAGCCGGGAAACGGGAGGGCTCGCTAATATCGTGAGGGGTGCTAGCGAGCCGGAACCCCAACCCAAGAGACTCCCGGACTTGTTCAGTGGGCCCGCGCTGTGTGTTGGGCGCATGCACTGGTGGATTCGGGGGCTGTGGGAAACCTGATGGACGCGGTGCTGGCCCAAGGGTGGAGTGCTTCGTTACTCTCCCTCTCCGAGCCGGTTCCGGTCATGGGCCTGGACGGGCGGCCGTTGGGGTCGGGCTTCATCACCCGGCGCACTGTCCCCGTGCGTGTCAGGGGGGCTATGGGAGGATATCCAGTTTTTCATTGTGGACTCTCCGAAGTGTCCACTCGTCCTCGGGCACCCCTGACTGGTCGCCCACAAACCCCGGATAGACTGGTCCACGGGGCGGCTCATCCTGGAGGGAGGCTCCGCCTCCGTCTTGTTCCGGTCTCAACCGAACACTCATCAGCCCAAACCACCATTCCAGACCACCTACCAGTCCTCACCTCTTCCCCAGGTCCCGCACTCCGAACTGCCTACCGCCCTAGCGGCGGTTGCCACCGGGAGGACGGCGGCTACAGACTCCGTCACCGGCCCAGACCTGGCAGGCGTTCCCCCGGGAGTATTGGGATCTGGGGGAGGTGTTTAGTAAGAGGCGTGCCAAGGGCCTACCTCTTCACAGGCCATATGAATGAGCTATCGATCTCCTGCCGGGTGCCATGCCCACACGAGTGCGATTGTTTTCCTTGTCCCGGTCGGAGACACTGTCCATGAGGGAGTATATCGACGAGGCACTCGTCGAGGGTCACATCTGTCCCTCTGCCGCGGGCGCGGGCTTCTTCGTGGGGAAAAAGGACGGTGGGCAGCGGCTGTGCATTGATTACCGGGCGCTCAACGGCATCACGGTTAAGAACCGCTACCCACTCCCCCTGATGACGACGGCATTCGATTCGTTGCAGGAAGCCCGGGTCTTCACCAAGCTGGACTTACGAAATGCCTACAACCTGGTGAGGATTCGGTAGGGGGACGAGTGGAAGACGGCTTTTAACACACCGAGTGGGCATTACGAGTACCAAGCCATGCCGTTCGGTCTAGCCAAAACGCCTGCGGTGTTCCAGGTGTTGGTCAATGACGTGCTCTGGGACCTCCTTGCCTACAGCATCTTTGTGTATTTGGATGACATTCTAATATTTTCAAAGGACATGAGTGAACACCAGCAGCATGTTCGGCACGTCCTCCAACGCCTTCTCCGTCACCAGCTCTACGTCAAGGCAGAGAAGTGCGTGTTCCACACAGAGACAGTCTCCTTCCTTGGGTTCATCGTCACCCAGGAGGGGGAATACGGATGGACCCAGCCAAGGTCAGTGTGGTACTGGATTGGCCCCAGCCCTCATACATCAAGCAACTACAACGTTTTGTAGGGTTCGCTCATTTTTATTGCCGATTTATTTGCAATTTTAGCTCCCTAGCCGTTCCCCTGACAGCCCTCACCCAGATGAGCGTGTGCTCCTTTGCCTGGACCCCGGAAGCGGGGAACGCATTTGATGCGCTTAAGCGGCACTTTACATCGGCCCCGGTCCTAGGGCATCCTGATCCGTCCCTGCCGTTCATTGTGTAGGTGGATGCTTCAGACGTTGTGGTGGGAGCAATCCTGTCCCAGCGGTTCCTCACGGACGTTAAGACTCACCCCTGAGCATTTTTCTCCCGTCGGCTGTCCCCGGCGGAGTGAAATTACGATGTGGGGCACCGTGAGCTGCTAGCGGTCAAGCTCGCCCTGGGGGAGTGGAGGCATTGGCTAGAGGGGGCCGCCCATCCATTTGTCGTATGGACTGACCATAAGAACTTAGCCTACATTCATGGGGCCAAGACGCTCAACTTGCACCAGACCAGGTGGGTGTTGTTCTTCACCAGGTTCCGGTTCACGATCTCATACCGTCCGGGTTTGAGGAACACCAAGCCTGACGCGCTCTCCCGGCAGTTCGACCCCATGGACCTGGTGGAGAGGGACGACTCCATTGTCCCCAACGCCCTGATTGCTGCCCCAGTTTCGTGGGGAATTGATAGGCTGGTCAGAGCAGCGCTACGGCAGGAGCCCGATCCGGGCGGAGGTCCATCGGGGAGGATTTACGTACCCAAGGCTGCGCGCTCGCGACTGCTTCATTGGGCGCAAGCGTCCGACTTCACCAGCCATCCGGGGGGCGCCAGGACGTTGGAGTTCCTGCGTAGGAGGCTCTGGTGGCCATCAGCTGAGGGGGATACGCACGCCTTCGTGGATGCTTGACCCCTGCCTATCCCAAAGCGCTCCTGGTCCCACATCTCGCTGGGTTCCATTTCCGCCCTACCCCCCTCTGATGGATACACAGTCATCCTGGTCGTTGTGGATTGGTTTTCGAAGGCTGCCCACTTCATTCCCCTTCTCAAACTCCCGTCGGCTCGGGAGATGGCTAAGTTGGTGGTGCAGCACGTTTTCCGGGTCCACGGCCTTCCCGAAGATGTGGTGTCGGATCGGGGTCCTCAGTTCGCCTCCAGGTTCTGGAAGGTGTTCTGTTACAGGAGGGGGTCGCAGTTTCGGAGCGACCCACTAGGTGTCATCCTCCGACAACCTTAGGCACCTCCTCACTCACAGTCTGGACTATTCATTATCCTATTGGTGTCACCTGTGTATACCTGTTCACCTGTGTATTTATGCCCTCACTTCCCGGTGTTCCCTTGCTCTGTTTTCTCTGCTAGTTCTCGATGCCAAACAGTACTAATCAGTGTCTGATCGCGAGACATATGTACAGGTACTTGAGAAGTGTTCTCCCTGTTTCATTGTTGTTTTCAGTCAGTTTGCTGTCAGCCTGTTTTTGGAGACCAATTTACCAAAAGTCTGTTATTTTGTATCCTGCTTTTGGGACCTCCGGTAAAGATTCTTGTTTCACCATCTCTGCCTACTCTCTATCCTGCACCGCACCTTGGTCACACCTCACACCAACCCTTACAGTATTGTGTGTAGGTTGAAAAGGAAAACAAATATTTAATCCATTTTAGAATTAGGCTGTAACGTAACAACATTTTGAAAAAGTCAAGGGGTCTGAATACTTTCCGAATGCACTGTAAATCCAGTTGGTTGCATTTTATTAAAACAATTAAATAGGTTGTTCCTTTACATGGTGTGATAGCTGATACTTTGGCCTATCAAAATATAGATTTAACATTTTGTTAATATTAAGACAAATATTTGTGGAAAAAAAGTTGAGATTGTCCCGTCTTTCAAGAATCCCTGAGCTCTAAAACAGCAACATTTTCTCTCAGCCTCATGGCAAAATGTATAAAATAGCATGAGATTAGCTATAATACTGCATATTGTTCTCTCTGCCCCATGACGTAAAAAAAACAAAACAAAAAAAGTAGTGGCCTTGCTCGGACCTTGCAGTGGGCCCCGCGAAACTGTGTGACCATCAGAGGATTAGGGTGAAGTTGCCCCTATATGCTGATCTTGGGTCAATTTTGCCTTTTTCCACTAAATGGTTAAGGTTTGGATTGGGGGAGGGGAAGCTGAGATCTGTGTCTAAGGGAAACTTCACCCTGGAGTGGCCATTAGACATGGGGAGGAATCTGATGTTGTAAACAGATAACTCCTAGCACTACATCATGCTGGAATTGAGTCATGAGTCGGCGAGAGACAGTGTTTAGGTTTATCCTCTGCAAGTCATTAATCCATCCATAGTGTTAACAGAAACAAGACAAGCATCTCGCTGCAAAGCTTGGTGAATTGAAAACAAATCCAGCAATGGTTCACACAGGTGAATATGTCCACCTACTGTCCAAAAAAGAGAGAAATTGTTCTTATGAGACTAGTTATAGTAATGGTTCATCATAGTCATCTCCGTACTTGGAGACACAGATGAGTTATAGTGTTGATAACCAAAGACTGTGCTACATAATCAAGTATATGTAGCGCACAGTAGGGGAGTTTCTCCGGTCAAGGAACCAACATCCATCTTGGCAAAACAGTGCCCTTGAACACCATACTCAGTCAGTGAAGCATAACGCACCTCATAGCCAGGCAAATGGAATCCCATGTCCCAGGGGCCCTTGTGCATGATTTATTGCAGGATGGGTAAGTGGGCTTCCCCTGTGCTGTGCAGTGCAAAGCAGAGGTGCTCAATTGTTACTGTGACTAGAAGTTTCTACCACAAAATAAATCTTAGAAAAAAGGGTTCCAAAAGGGTTCTTCGGCTGTACCCATATGATAACCCTTTTTGGTTCCAGGTAGAACAATTTTGGGTTCAATGTAGAACCCTCTGTGGAAAGGGTTCTACCTGGAACCAAAAAGGGTTCTTCAAAGAGTTCTCCTATGGGGACAGCCGAAGAGCCCTTTTAGGTTCTAGATAGCACTTTTGTTTCTAAGAGTGTATTTAAGAGAAATATAGAGGTTTGGATGTTGGAAGTATTCTCTCATTTACGATAGCCTGTTCATTGTCTACTGTATGTCAGTGATACACTGCAGAGGTATGTCAATCCCCTGATACTGGGAATAATGTAATTTGGTAATTATATTGTCTTACATACTGTAGGGGAGAACCATTAGCAAGTGTCCTCTACCATTAGCAACTGTAATTTAATTTCTAGGGTAAATTAGTTGAAATGAAAGTGGAATTTCACCCTGGCTCTGCCATGGCATAGAGTCATTACTATGTTAACAACATTACGTTTTTGTCATAAACATCACAATTATCCAAACCACAAGCTAGAACTAGCACATTTTCATTTTACTGGTAGAATCAGGAAGTTTTCGACTTTCTGTGTATTCCTCTGCTCATAGTGAACCACAAAGTCTGGCATTCATAGCGAATGCAGATACTGTCTGCTAAGGTAGATGGGGCCAGTGTTGCCAACTCCTCAGTAAGGAAAGTAGCTATTGGCTGTCCTAAAAGTCACTAAATGACATCATCACCTAATTTGCATAATTGGCCATGTGCATGTAATTGTGATGGATATTGTAGGAGAGAGGAATAACGTTGTGGGAGAGACAAAAAGTGAGTAAAAAACACCCAAAATATGTTTAGAACTACAAATGAACTTTCTTCTGTCGATTCTTGTTTTTTTTTATGTCACAATTCCAACCCTCCTCCTTTATCCGGGCTTGGGACCGGCAAAAGTGACCCAAAAGAGACACTCTGGCGTAGTTATTTCTTTTTTTTGTCTTTTTTTGTTTTTTTGTTTTTTAGTTTAGTTTTCTTAAGTTTGGTTTGGTTTTTAACCTTATGGTCCACTTAGGAGCCTACAACAAGTCACAGTAAAACATGAATATTTTTAACCATAACATTAAAAAATATATATATTGTATACAATCTACATTAACAATCTAAATGGACCAAAAAGAACAATAGAAAAAACACAGGCTGTGCTGGCTCACAGAAAGAGTGGGTCATCGTCATTTTGGTCAAGGCTCTCTATGGCAGGTTCAGCAACTGAGGGAGCTGACTTAAATGAGTAAGCAGCTGATGTGCCAAAAAGCTGCAAAACATTATCAGGCAGCTGGTGCTCATAGCAAGCCTCACCAGACAGCTTTAGTCCATATCGAATGTACAGGATGGAGTTAAGGGTCTGCAAGGACATCCAAATTCTACGTTTGCTTTTTACCACACTCATCTGGCTGAATATTCTCTCGACTTCAGGATTCGAGTGTGGCAAGGACAACACAGACACAGCAGCCATGGCAAGTTCTTGAAACGGGTTGATATCAGCTGCATCCCTGAACTTCCAAATCTCACTCCAGAAGCCCAGTTTTGTCTCATTCCATTTACTAAGATGGATGGCACGCCATTGCTGGACAATCTATTTGTTTCTATTTCTCCAGGGCTCTTATTGTGCTTTAGAGTTTCCTCCACATTGAAAACTGACATGTACTGCAATGCTTCGATGTTGTCCGGCAGTCTCACCCTCAACTCATTAGTGAGGGAGATGGTGAAGGCTACACACCGCTTTCGCTTTCGGACATTGTTTTCATCCTCAGGCGCAAGGTGGAGCTCAGCTGCCTTTGACTCAAAAAGGTAACCAAGGTACGGTTTGGGACTGATGTATCCATCTATTGGCCCTTTGAGTACATCAACATTTGCCAGTGGATTCAGCACCCTGCTGCTCACAGACTTGATCAGGCTAACCAAGCTGTCAAGTAGTTTAAGAGGATCTACTTGCTCTCCCTCAAAAGCCTTGATGGCCAACTGTACCTCACCCTCCCTGCGCTTTGGAGACACTGAAAACCAGTTATAAGTCTCTCATACCAAGTACTCCCCACTATGGGGGATGGTGTCATTGGAATCATGACTTACAGCCAGCTGCAGAGAGTGGCACACATAGCGAATAAGAACAAGATCTTTGAGGCCATACTCCTCCTTCAGCACTTTATGGACCCCATTGTTAATCCCCGTTGAGAAGAGTAAGAACGATACGTGCTTTCACGTCAGTCTCCAAAAGTCTCCAATCACACCATAAAAAGTCGCTAGTCGATTTAAAAAAAATGTGTCGCTAGAGGGGTATGAATACTCGCTAAAAATAGCGACAAAGTCGCTAAATTGGCAACACTGGGGCGCGTCAACAAATGTCGATGATGGCATTTTGTACTTTGAACAAACAACACACAGCAATCTCAGAACTTCTGCAGGCAAGTTTTTTTTGACAATGTTTGTTTTTCACTAACGTTTGTCATCATGCCTGTGTGGTGTTCTGTGCCGGGTTGTGTTAATTACAAACAAGTGCAAAAATGTGTTATCTTTCACCATTCTACCTACCAGAGATTTACCACAATGCTGCCAGGAGCTTGCAGATATCAACAATGATGCGCTTTACGATGACCAAAGATTATCAGAGGGATTTTCAAGTTGAACTGATGTGATGGGGAATACATTTCGACGACAGCTGAGAAGTGATGCGATACCATCTATTTTTTTTCCCTTCACAACAAAACGGAAGATTCTTGATTAGAGGTAACCTAACGGGATTTAGTGATTTAGCTGATGGCTTTGGGTTCAATACAGGACTATAACATTAGCTAACTTACCTAGCTAGGCCAGCTAGGCTAGCTAGCTAGCTAACGTTACAGTCCTGAACTCTGAAAGCCATCATCTAAATCATATAGCTATCTTTTTTGGTAGACACTCTGTCAATCCATTTCACCTATGCCATGGTAGTCACTGCTAGACTGGTAGCTACCTTCAGCAGCAGAGTAAACATGTTTGTTCATTATATCTTTGACTGACGTTAGCTAACGCAAGCTAGCTAATGTTAGCAAATAAAAGTATCTCAATCTGGTAGCCATCTATTTCACCCTTGCCTGGAAAACACTCTGTTACTAAAAATAGAATTGTCGATATAGTTAACAAACTCTCTATTTTTGTGTTGGTAGCAATGATGAATGTGTATAAATCAACTATGGTTGGTTCTCAGCCAGTCTCAGCTGGCTAGCAATCTAGTGACAGCTAGCTGACAATATTGAAATGTCCATGTTAGGTGTGCTATGCAAGCCAGTCTAATAAAGATCAATACAATTATGCGGTGGTTAAATTGTGTATTGTTGTGTATTTTGTTGTAGATTGTACCAAGATGTCCATCTAACCCCTAGCTCTGCACAAGGTGAAGGTAAGTTGCCAAAAAGATTTACAAGCTGACAGCTAAGCTTTACAGTAAGCATGGCATAAACATGAATTGGGTAGTGTTTGTATGGTTTGTTTTATGGGGTTACAGGTGGTTAGAGGTAGCCTGAGAACCACAGAGTACCTTCCAGACGGTGTAAGTGATTTAGTCTACCCCTCTTCTCTTTTGACCTTTTCTCTTTGTAATACTCAGGTTATCTGGAGTCATTCCACAGTGCCCTGCTGAAAAATACCCCAAAGCTGCGACATTTTGGGTACACAAGCATGAGGGAGCGGACACACCTTGCGGTTATGGAGCGCAACAAGATTGTGGGACAGAAACCAGCAAGGGACACTGAAAGGTATAGAATCAAGACTACAACAGTAATGACATAACCACCTCATTCTTCTCTCTGTAGATTCTTAAAACACAATACAAAGACACGCCTACAAAAATCCCCTGCAAGGGGCTACTATTGACAAGAATGATTTGTCTAAGTCAATGGGCTGGGGGAGGTTTACAGACAGTACTTTGAGATGAGGAAGGGGTTTTTGTAGTGCAGAGTTGTGCTTAGACAGTAAATGTATTGTTGTGTATGAGAACAATTGAGAGATACCATTTCTCCTCTATTTCCCATACACAACAATTCATACTGTGTAAGAACTGCCCTCCTAAGACTTTTCACACCTTCTTTAGCCCACCAGCCCATTCACTTTGTTGACTGATTTTTCCTCTCAAAAGCAGCACCCAATGTCCCTCATTGTCCCTAAACAATATGCTAGCCGGTCCCATTCGGTTGACACCTTTACCAACAAAGACGTGTTGCCATACGTTCCTTCCACAAAAAGTGTAAAATGCTAACACCACAACCATTTATTTCCAGGAGACATGCAGAACCAGCAAATCTTCTGCAATAGTTGGTGGTTAAGAAGCCCTATACCACTTTCGGCAGAATCTTATCCAGCTGGCCGTTCACCGCAGACAGGACAAGACCATTTACCATAAGCACAAAGAGTCTCAGCTTCCCCAGCCCACCATGCCAAACACCATTGCCAGTGTACTGAAGCCGGATAAAGGACTTTTGACCAATCAGATCAGTTCTGAAAAATATCTGATGTGAAAAGATCTGATGTGATTAAGACCAATTAGTGCAATAAACATCAGAATTGGGCTGTCTGTGTAAACGCAGCCAGTGTGGCTCAGCATAAGACCATGTTGCACAGGGGTCTCCAACCCTGTTCCTGGAGAGCTACCCTCCTGTAGGTTTTCACTCCAACCCGTTGTAACTAACCTGGTTCAGCTTATCAACCAGCTAAGTGAAAACCTACAGGACGGTAGCTCTCTGGGAACAGGGTTGGAGAGCCCTAATGTAAAACCACTATAAAATAAATATGGATATTTTCTATCAATCTTTGAAATTTGTATGCCTTTATGGATTCACAGAAGATATTTATATAAGCTGTACAGGGCTCTGTAGCAAACAAATGCTAGACATTCCGATATCCAAATAATATTTATTTGTCAAAATCTAAAATACAGGGGAGTTTACACTATTTAATGCTAACTGAAGACAACTGGGTATTCAACACAAATGGTATATGGTAAAAGTAACATACACATTTTTTTTATGAACAGTGTAGTACAGTTCATTGTGTCCAAGTGTGTCTCAGGTGTAGAGACACACAAGTGCAGAGAACTGTAGCTGTAGATTGTAACACCAGATAATGGGATTTACCCAAAGATTTTTGCTGACATCTTGTCTATTTCAATTCTTCTCTCATTGATCGAGACAGGTGGGTTTCCACCCCAAAGTGCTGCATGTCATGATAACATAACTCTCTAGGTCAATGAGAGAAGACTTGAAATAGACAAGATGGAGTCAAAAATACATACACATTATTGGATTACTTCATGGAGCAAAACAAGTTTTTAATTTAATAACGGAGCATTTTCTAAATTCAAACTGACCCCCTGCAACTGGACAAGGACATTTTATGAGACTCCTGTTTCCCCGAATCGAGGACGAAGACAGCATCGCTAAGGTTGGTCAAAAATTATCTGTGCTACACCAAACAGTATCTATCCTGTAACTCCCTGTAATGGATAACAACAATCTTTGATTAAATCACATTATCTGGTGTAAGAATCTGTAGCTAAGAAAACGTGTGGGGGGGGGCTGTGCCGGTTTTGACACCTTAACACTCTGCCATAAATTAGAGAGGAGGGGGATCTCTCCCTGGCTCTCCAGTATTGGTAAAGGAATGTCTTTGTTCCAGAATACTTTTGCCGCCAAAACTATAAACGTCCAAAAGGTAAACACTGGAACAATATTCCTAACATCCAAATGTTTGGAATGGTCAGTGGGGATCTAAATAATAATCATGTCATATTGTTTAATATTTTGCGATGTTATTAAAATCTGTATGAACCAAATACTGTAATTTAGGAAGGATACCCCCTTTATCTGTCAAGTTTCCATCAAATACATTGTGATATGAAAATGGATGAAACTATTTTTGTTAAAATAGGAATGTGATTTTAGGAGTCATAAGAGATAACTTCTAATCATATCCTTTGCACAGTAACTAGCCACACCCCAGGTGCCATCAGAGATCATGTCAGCAAGTAGGAACGCCCCTTTTACCAAGAGGGCATAAAGGCTTGAAAGACAAATTAAAATTAGACCAGGAAACGTGGTGACTGCACGTTTAGAATGGTTAGAACTTTGAATGAGAAAGACCAGCCGACGTGAATCGCGAGCTCACGTTACAAAATGGTTAGACCAGAAAGCGTGTAGCTGTGGCTACACGGCTGAAAATGCTTAGAACTTTGAATCTCTACACGAGGTGAAGAAGATAAACTCACTAGACCAAAAAGCATTGGCAGTCTGCAGCTGTACATGTAAAGTAGTCTAGAACTTTGACTAAAGACACAAGGTGGGAAGAAAGGAGAATCCCATCTCAGACAGCCATTGTTGCATCTGAAGTATCTGTCTAACAAACACTTCACTACCAGATAAGCTCTACAAAGAAGAAGGACATTGTGACCTCTGGTGTACAATCAGAGCCTTACAAGTGAGCTGAGCGAAGACCCAGCCAAAACCTCCTTTCCAAGAGGGCTTGGGTCAACAGAGATAGACGAGCGGCAAACACGTAAATCCATTCATTGGTTTCTTACTCAGAACGGGCGGTGGTTAGGGTGCTAAGTATTCTGATTACCGTGAGCGTAGTTCCCAAATGTATGTACGATAAGTTTGACTCTCTTTATCCCTCTCTCCCTCCTTCTATTGACCCCTCCCTTTTTGATAACCAAGCAGTCATGCTGTTGTTAGTCCGCTAGGGACTTTTCTCATGTATTAAGTATGTATGTATTCTGTGTTATTATTTAGTTAGCTAGTAAATAAATGATTAAGCTAATTTGTGTATTGCTGGTTAGGGTTCTTGCGGAGTCAAGGATTATGCGACGTTCAGAATGAGACTAATATGAGGTAATGATTAATAAGTGACTGTTATCAATATATAACATATATATCTTCTAAGAGTTTAATTTGGGAGATGGTAACTCGATAAACAACTTCTTCCGTGGTGCCCCAAATTCCTAATGAGTTAATTGTTACATGATTAATTTAATCGAGTAACAATTAAACATAGTTGATTCGATAAATAACAGTCATCACATTAATGAAAGTCACGTCATGACACTGTCTTATTTCCATGTTTCTGCTTTGTAATGGTCATTACTTTCAACAAATGTACTATCAGCCCTAATTTCACGTTTGTGTCTATTTCAATAATTAATGCTATAGGTTCGAAATTTATGAAAATGAACCATGCATCAACATCGCAATGTTGTGCAACCACAATATTATTAATCGGACTAAAATGGATCACATAATAGCTATATTAACCATACTTTTCTCATCTCACTTTAATGGGAATGTAGTAGGAGATGTTTTTCACAATTTTCAATGACTATTCATACTTAGCCCTACAAATCATGTGCGCTCCAGCTGTCCTTGGCATGCCCGCTACTCATGTCTTGATAGAATAAACGTCTTTATTCTCTTCACAAACGGCAAACTCATCATGCTTATCACATTTCCATGGCTTGACACAAGGTAATTGACCCCCAGAATCATAAAAATATATATTTTTAACCACTAACCTGTCGATAAAAGCTTATGTGAGAAGCTGATCCATCAAGTCAATTGATTAAGGCATAATTCTAATGATTTCATATATCATTTTCAAACATTCAGTCACTTCTTGATATATTTATTAAAGCAATATGAAGTAGAGGAGACAATGGCCTCTGCTTAAACTTTTTTGGGGGTTTTATTCAAGGTCATCAGTTTATATTGTGTTATTCGTCCCATCCGTCTCTTCTGTAATTGCTCCCAGGCTAACAGCCAAGACTAGCTAGCATGATACTTGAAACCTATGCTATCGTTTAGTCACTAGATGGCTTAAGAAAATGACATATGTTTGGAACCTTGAACAACTAAACCCAACTCTACAACCGAAAAACACTTCCGGGTCCGTTTTTTTCTTACATCACTCAAAACCACTTTTTGTTGATAACTCGGCGAAACATGGTTGGCATGTGCTGTTTTTTGACTTCATTATGTCATTCTAGTTTCTGTGTTATCTGAGAAAATGAGCGTGTTACTTTCACCCCGTGTTACTTTCGTCCTGGCTCTCCCCTAGTTAATGAGCAGTCTTTTATTGTCTCTGTATTTGTCTCATGTTTCAGTTGGTGTCCAACATTGGTCCATATCAGAAACTTAGAGTGCAGATATTTAACTTTTATAGAACAGAATAGAATAACACCTCAGTCTGCCACATCTGTCACTCAAAAATCTGCCGATGCCAGAGTGGCTAAATATGACTTGTTGTATTACTGTTATTGTTCACAATACTGCTGAATAAACCCAGTCCACTACTGCCTCCCTCTGGTCATAATGATATGCACTTCGTAAAGGAGAATGGGAGAAGACGTTTTCACAAGGGTAGCACAGTTCACGAGAACCCAAGTCAGGTCTTTGTTGACATAGAATGTTGAAGTAGAATTTCAGTGGTCGTCTGTTTTAGGGCGCATCCCAAATGTCACCCTACTCCTTTAGTGCACTAATGTGCACCCTGGGCCATAAGGCTGTGGTCAAAAGTAGTGCACAATATAGGGAATAGGATTGCCATTTGGGGCACACACATAATGGGTGCACATTTGGTCATGCACTGTTACAGCTGGGTGGACTAATCTAGAGTGTTGATTAGGTTGGAGGCTGATGAAGGCCCCATCCCTCTTGCTATTGGACGGCTTCCAAGGACTCTGACCTGCTTCAAGGGGAGAGTCAGGGTTCGACTCATCTGGCCTGGAGATGCTGAAGGACTCAGGGCAGATTCAGGACAGAGAGTGGAGGTGACGGGGTGAGATTAATAAGGCCTGGTGACAGGAATCCTATTGACTGGTGGTGTCATTCTCGGAACCATCAGTCTGAATGACAAATCTCTGTAGAGATGCTGATTGAATCCATCTCCCAAACCCCCAAAGTACTCAAATCACTTAATTTCAGTTCGGGGCAAAATAAACAGAGCAAAAATAATTCATCAAAATCTAGAAAGAGCACTGGAGAGGTATAGCAAGATGCATTCTGAACTGAAGAAGTTCATTTTCAGTTTGCCATTGAGGGCAGGCCACCAGATACTGAAAACCTATCTACTTGTTACTCAGTTGTGAAGTGAGCAAACAAACATATGAGAAGAGGAGACTCAAGTTTCAAGTTTTAATAGTCGTACAGTATGTATGGGATACGCATGGTATACATTGCATTCAAAAGGATTCAGACCCCTTGACTTTTTCCACATTTTGTTACGTTACAGCCTTTTTCTAAAATTGATTAAATCGTTTTTTTCCCTCATCAATCTACACACAATACCCAATAATGACAAAGTAAAAACCGGTTTTTAGACATTTTTGAAAATGTATTACAAACAAAAAACGGATATAGCACATTTACATAAGTATTCAGACCCTTTACTCAGTACTTTGTTGAAGCACTTTGGCAGTGATTACAGCCTCGGGTCTTCTTGGGTATGACGCTACAAGCTTGGCACACCTGTATTTGGGGAGTTTCTCCCATTCTTCTCTGCAGATTCTCTCAAGCTCTGTCAGGTTGGATGGGGAGCGTCGCTAAACAGCTATTTTCAGGTCTCTCCAGAGATGTTCGATCAGGTTAAAATCCGAGCTCTGGCTGGGCCACTCAAGGACAATCAGAGACTTGTCCCGAAGCCACTCCTGCGTTATCTTGGCTGTGTGCTTAGGGTCGTTGTCCTGTTGGTCCTGAGCGCTCTGGAGCAGGTTTCCATCAATGATCTCTCTGTACTTTGCTCAGTTCATCTTTCCCACGATCCTGGATGGTGTTCTCCGGGGGATGATAGGTGTTGGGTTTGCGCCAGACATAGCGTTTTCCTTGATGGCCAAAAAGCTCAATTATAGTCTCATCTGACCAGAGTACCTTCTTCCATATGTTTGGGGAGTCTCCCACTTGCCTTTTGGCGAACACCAAATGTGTTTGCTTATTTTTTTCTTTAAGCAATGGCTTTTTTCTGGCCACTCTTCCGTAAAGCCGTGCTCTGTGGAGTGTACGGCTTAAAGTGATCCTATGGACAGATACTCCAATCTCCGCTGTGGAGCTTTGCAGCTCCTTCAGGGTTATCTTTGGTCTCTTTGTTGCCTCTCTGATTAATGCCCTCCTTGCCTGGTCTGTGAGTTTTGGTGGGCGGCCCTCTCTTGGCAGGTTTGTTGTGGTGCCATATTCTTTCCATTTTTTAATAATGGATTTAATGGTGCTCTGTGGGATGTTCAAAGTTTCTGATATTTTTTTATAACCCAACCCTGATCTGTACTTCTCCACAACTTTGTCCCTGACCAGTTTGGAGACCTCCTTGGTCTTCATGGTGCCGCTTGCTTGGTGGTGCCCCTTGCTTATTGGTGTTGCAGACTCTGGGGCCTTTCAGAACAGGTGTACAGTGGGGAAAAAAAGTATTTAGTCAGCCACCAATTGTGCAAGTTCTCCCACTTAAAAAGATGAGAGAGGCCTGTAATTTTCATCATAGGTACACGTCAACTATGACAGACAAATTAAGAAAAAGAAAATCCAGAAAATCACACTGTAGGATTTTTAATGAATTTATTTGCAAATTATGGTGGAAAATAAGTATTTGGTCAATAACAAACAAGCAAGATTTCTGGCTCTCACAGACCTGTAACTTCTTCTTTAAGAGGCTCCTCTGTCCTCCACTCGTTACCTGTATTAATAGCACCTGTTTGAACTTGTTATCAGTATAAAAGACACCTGTCCACAACCTCAAACAGTCACACTCCAAACTCCACTATGGCCAAGACCAAAGAGCTGTCAAAGGACACCAGAAACAAAATTGTAGACCTGCACCAGGCTGGGAAGACTGAATCTGCAATAGGTGAGCAGCTTGGTTTGAAGAAATCAACTGTGGGAGCAATTATTAGGAAATGGAAGACATACAAGTCCACTGATAATCTCCCTCGATCTGGGGCTCCACGCAAGATCTCACCCTGTGGGGTCAAAATTATCACAAGAACGGTGAGCAAAAATCCCAGAACCACACAGGGGGACCTAGTGAATGACCTGCAGAGAGCTGGGACCAAAGTAACAAAGCCTACCATCAGTAACACACTACGCCGCCAGGGACTCAAATCCTGCAGTTCCAGACGTGTCCCCCTGCTTAAGCCAGTACATGTCCAGGCCCGTCTGAAGTTTGCTAGAGTGCATTTGGATGATCCAGAAGAGGATTGGGAGAATGTCATATGGTCAGATGAAACCAAAATATAACTTTTTGGTAAAAACTCAACTCGTCGTGTTTGGAGGACAAAGAATGCTGAGTTGCATCCAAAGAACACCATACCTACTGTGAAGCATGGGGGTGTAAACATCATGCTTTGGGGCTGTTTTTCTGCAAAGGGACCAGGACGACTGATCCATGTAAAGGAAAGAATGAATGGGGCCATGTATGTGAGATTTTGAGTGAAAACCTCCTTCCATCAGCAAGGGCATTGAAGATGAAACGTGGCTGGGTCTTTCAGCATGACAATGATCCCAAACACACTGCCCGGGCAACAAAGGAGTGGCTTCGTAAGAAGCATTTCAAGGTCCTGGAGTGGCCTAGCCAGTCTCCAGATCTCAACCCCATAGAAAATCTTTGAGGGAGTTGAAAGTCCGTGTTGCCCAGCGACAGCCCCAAAACATCACTGCTCTAGAGGAGATCTGCATGAAGGAATGGGCCAAAATAGTGTGTGAAAACCTTGTGAAGACTTACAGAAAACGTCTGACCTGTGTCATTGCCAACAAAGGGTATATAACAAAGTATTGAGAAACTTTTGTTATTGACCAAATACTTATTTTCCTACAATGTGATTTTCTGGATTTCTTTTTCTTATTTTGTCTGTCATAGTTGACGTGTACCTATGATGAAAATTAAAGGCGTCTCTCATCTTTTTAAGTGGGAGAACTTGCACAATTGGAGGCTGACTAAATACTTTTTTTCCCCACTGTATATATACTGAGATCATGTGACGGATCATGTGACACTTGTGGACTTTATTTAACTAATTATGTGACTTCTGAAGGTAATTGGTTGCACCAGATCTTAATAAGGGGCTTCATAGCAAAGGGGGTGAATACATATGCACGCACCACTTTTCCATTATTTACTTTGTATAATTTTTTGAAATAAGTTATTTTTTTCATTTCACTTCACCAATTTGGACTATTTTGTGTATGTCCATTACATGAAATCCAAATAAAAAATCCATTTAAATGACAGGTTGTAATGCAACAAAATAGGAAAAACGCCAAGGGGGATGAATACATTTGCAAGGCACTGTAGGTACCTTTTGGCAAACTCCAAGCGAGCTGTCATGTGCCTTTTACTGAGGAGTGGCTTCTGTTTGGCCACTCTACCACAAAGGCCTGATTTGGTGGAGTACTGTAGAGATGGTTGTCCTTCTGGAAGGTTCTCCCGTCTCCACAGAGGAACTCTGGAGCTCTGTCAGAGTGACCATCAGGTTCTTGGTCACCTCCCTGACCAAGGCCATTCTCCCCCGATTGCTCAGTTTGGCCAGGCGGCCAGCTTTAGGAAGAGCCTTGTCGGTTCCAAACGTCTTCCATTTAAGAATGATGGAGGCCATTGTGTTCTTGGGAACCTTCAATGCCGTAGAAATGTTTTGTTACCCTTCCCCAGATCTGTGCCTCGACACAATCCTGTCTCCAAGCTCTACGGACAATTCCTTCGACCTCATGGCTTGGTTTTTACTCTTGACATATACTGTCAACTGTTGGACCTTATATAGACAAGTACGCGCCTTTCCAAATCATGTCCAATCAATTGAATTTACCACAGGTGGACTCCAATCAAGTTGTAGAAACATCTCAAGGATGATCAATGGAAACAGGATGCACCTGAGCTCAATTTATCGAGTCTCATACCAAAGGGTCTGAATACTTATGTAAATGTGATATTTCTTATTTTTTCTTTTTTTATACATTTGCAAACATTTCTAAAAACCTATTTTCGCTTTGTCATTATGGGGTATGGTGTGTAGATTGATGAGCAATTATTTTTATTTCATCCATTTTAGAACAGGGCTGTAATGTAACATAATGTGGAAAAAGTCAAGGGGTCTGAATACTTTCAGAATGCACTGTACATTGTCCAACGAAATACTTACTTTCAGGTTCCTTCTCAACAATCCAACAACAATAAGAAATAGTAAAAATAATAAGAATATGAACATATAGTAAATGGCAGTAGAATAGAATAAACATTTTAAGTGGTACAAGATCAAGTCAAACATCCAGGTTTGAAGTCCAGAAAGCAGATGAGGGGTTTGAACCGGCTGCTGCTGGTCATCCAGATTTCTGCTGTGATGGGCCTATTATTAGAGCCTTCGCTCCTTACTCAGGTGGTTGACTAGACTCAGCAACGTTAAGAGAACATCTGCTCGGAAGACATGTCTGATTATGAGCAATTACTGAAGAATAATACAAACATTACAATCAAAACATGATACGCACTAGTAGTACAACAACAGCAAGAAGTGCTGGTGTAGTTTAGAGCAGTCATTGTAGTAGTATACTGTAGGTAAATTAGGCAGGGTGGCAGTCTGTTTCTGCTCTCTTGCCAACTCCTTATGGAATTGCCTTTGGCTTGACAATGACAGCACATGAGTCGACAAGAGCACAAACAGATCTGGGACCAGGCTAATAATAATAGTCTTTAGTAACAATACTACAATACTGTAGCACAGTACCAGGGGTTAGTGGTAATACAGTATTAGAAATGGACTTAGTAGCAGGCTCTATTTGGGTCCCATGTCATTTGTCTTTCAGTATAACTTGTACCCCCATTAGTTCCAGCTGTGTTGTGCAGAGTACTTTAGCACGTTTCTTGGGCAGATGTAATAAGCTGAGGGATAATAGTTACTGCCCCCAATAAATACCCAGCAATATGAGTCTGCTATTATCTCCTCTGACATCATGCTCTACTTATCCTCTATTCTCTTTCTATTAATCCCTCCTTCCTTTTCCATACAAAACTTATGGTGTCACTTGTTTCTGTCTTCCCTTCAGCTGTTTTCTCTCTTGCTGTCTGATCATATCATCTTCACTCCAGCTAAATATACAGTGCAGTCGGATAGTATTTAGACTCCTTGACTTTTTCCACATTTTGTTACGTTACAGCCTTATTTTTTAGAATGGATTCAATTGTCCCCCCCCCCCTCATCAATCTACACACACCCCATAATGACAAAGCAAAAACAGGTTTTTATAAATTGTTGCAAATTTATAAAAAAATGAAAATTGAAATATCACATTTACATAAGTATTCAGACCCTTTACTCAGTACTTTGTTGAAGCACCTTTGGCAGTGATTACAGCCTAGAGTCGTCTTGGGTATAACGTTACAAGCTTGGCACACCTGTATTTGGTCCTCTGTAGCTCAGCTGGTAGAGCACAGCGCTTGTAATGCCAAGGTAGTGGGTTCAATCCCCGGGACCACCCATACACAAAAAAAATTATGCACGCATGACTGTAAGTCCCTTTGGATAAAAGCGTCTGCTAAATGGGATATTATTTATATTATTTATTTGGGGAGATTCTCCCATTCTTCTCTGCAGACCCTCTCAAGCTCTGTTAGGTTGGATGGGGAGCGTTGCTGCACAGCTATTTTCAGGTCTCTCCAGAGATTTTCGATTAGGTTCAAGTCTGGGCTCTGGCTGGATCACTCAAGGTCATTCAGAGACTTGTCCCGAAGCCACTCCTACGTTGTTTTGGCTGTGTGCTTAGGGTCATTGTCCTGTTGGAAGGTGAACCTTCGCCCCAGTGTGAGGTCCTGAACGCTCTGGAACAGGTTTTCATCAAGGATTTCTCTTTACTTTGCTCCGTTCATCTTTACCTCGATCATGGCTAGTCTCCCAGATCCTGCCGGTGAAAAACATCCCCACAGCATGATGCTGCCACCACCATGCTTCACCATAGGGATAGTAATGGCCAGGTGATGAGCGGTGCCTGGTTTCTTCCAGACGTGACTGTTATGATGAGTTTCTGGTATTGAGAAGTTCAAGATGCAAGAATTTACTTAGACATTTTGTGGAGATTTTACCAAGTATTTATTTGATCACGAGCCCGTGGGTTCATCTAACAAACGGACATAGCCTTGCCCCCTTGTCAGTTGAACTGCCCACACACACAAATCTCACATCTTTTATACTCTTGGTTACACATTTCTTCAACCACATCTGGCCATCGTCAATGAGCACTACCCCTTCTATGTCATGACCTCTTACCCCCAAGCAGGACGTTCCCTCCATACATCATTCTAATACAAACCCCACTATCTTCCTTGGACAGATTGGAATTTACTACCCCAGACTTAGAGTCACCCAGAACCACTTCTCTCTACTAACTTTAAACTAGTTACACACTCATATGAAATAGCCCCATATCCTCATCATATCAGTGACGCTTGGCATTCAGGCCAAAGAGTTCAATCTTGGTTTCATTAGAACAGAGAATCTTGTTTCTCATGGTCTGAGAGTCCTTTAGGTGCCTTTTGGCAAACTCCAAGCGGGCTGTCATGTGCCTTTTACTGAGAAGTGGCTTCTGTCTGGCCATTCTACCACAAATGCCTGATTGTGGAGTACTGCAGAGATGGTTGTCCTTCTGGAAGGTTCTCCCATCTCCACAGAAGAACTCTGGAGCTCTGTCAGAGTGACCATCGGGTTCTTGGTCACCTCCCCGACCAAGGCCCTTCTCCACCGATTGCTCAGTTTGGCCGGGCGGCCACTCTAGGAAGAGTCTTGGTGGTTCCAAACTTCTTCCATTTAATAATGATGGAGGCCACTGTGTTCTTGGGGACCTTCAATGCTGCAGAAATGTTTTGGTACCGTTCCCCAGATCTGTGCCTCGACTCAATTCTGTCTGCGAGCTCTATGGACAAATCCTTCAACCTCATGGCTTGGTTTTTACTCTGATATGCACTGTCAACTGTGGGACCTTAAATAGACAAGTGTGTGCCTTTCCAAATCATGTCCAATTAATTGAATTTACCACAGGTGGACTCCAATCAAGTTGTAGAAACAAGGATGATCAATGGAAACAGGATGCACCTGAGCTCAATTTCGAGTCTCATAGCAAAGGGTCTGAATACTTATGTAAATAAGGTATTTCTGTTTGGTGGTTTTTATAAATTTGCAAACATTTCTAAAAACCTGTTTTATGGGGTGTTGTGTGTAGATTGATGATGAAAACATATTATTTAATCAAATTTAGAATAAGGCTGTAACGTAACAAAATGTGGAAGAAGTGAATGGGTCTGAGTACTTTGTATGGGGATAGGGTTGGCAGTTTTCTTTTCCTTTGCTCTTTCTTTCATTCTTCCTTTCTTTCTTTATTTTCTTTCTCCCTCTCTCTTTAGCCTCTTTCTTTCTCCTTCCCTCTGTCTCTCGCTCTCTACAGCTCTCTTTTGGGAGACAATTGAGACATGGATTGTGTATGTGTGCCATTAAGAGGGTGAATGGGCAAGACAACATATTTAAGTGCCTTTGAACGGGGTATGGTAGTTGGTGCCAGGCACACCGGTTTGGTTCAAGAACTGCAATGCTGCTGGGTTTTTCTCACTCAACAGTTTCCCGTGTGTATCAAGAATGGTCCACCACCCAAAGGACATCTAGGCAACTTGACACAACTGTGGGAAGCATTGGAGCCAACATGGGACAGCATCCCTATGGAACGCCTTCGGTTTTGGTGAGTGATTGAGAGGCTGGGGAGAGTTTGCTTGGTGAGAGGAACATCAGAACAGCAAGGGCTTGATTGGAAGTCCTCAGTACTCTGACAGTCACACTGTTTCAGTTTGCCTTATGTACTGTACACTGTTTTGTTGTGGAGATGTTCTGTACCTGGCTTTGACATCATACAAAGAGACAAGAACCACAGGGCTTAGGGCTAATGCCGGTCATGTGATTCAAGGTGCTTTAGCTGGAGATGCATGGTACAAACAGAAAGTAAAGGTTAAGAAAACATGGAGTAGCAGAGAATGTATGGCGCACAGAAGCCTCATATCTTTGTAATTTCTTTCCATTCATATTTTGGTCTTCACTTTGCAACTACAGTTTGCAAAGATGTTATGGGGACATTATGGGGATGTGATGGTGACATTCAGGTGTCGTGCACAAAGGGATGATATTTATAAGAAGCTGTCAACATATCCTCACATCAGTGTGTACTGTTCTTTAACTTAATCTGTCATATTTTCTTTGCAGAAGCCTGAAGGCTGGAGCCACCTGCTCCTCGACTCCAGTCTCTGGTTAAATCAAATCAAATCACATTTTATTTGTCACATGCTTCGTAAACAGCAGGTGTAGACTAACAATGAAGTGCTTACTTACAGGTCCTTCCCAACAATGCAGATATTTTTTATTTTGAAATAGTTACAAATATATATAATAATAATAATATTAATAATATTAATAACTGCACAAGGAATAAATACACAATGAGTAACGTTAAATTGGCTATATACACCGAGTACCACTACCGAGTCAATGTGCAGGGGTACAAGGTAATTGAGGTAGATAAAGTGACTAGGCAACGGGATAGATAATAAACAGTAACAGCAGCGTATGTGATGAGTCAAAAGAGTTAGTGCAAAAAGGGTCAATGCAGATATTCCGGGTAGCTATTGGTTAACTATTTAACTAACTATTTAGCAGTCTTATAGCTTGGGGGTAGAAGCTGTTCAGGGTCCTGTTGGTTCCAGACTTGGTACATCGGTACCGCTTGCCGTGCGGTAGCGAGAGAACAGTCTATAACTTGGGGGGCTGGAGTCGTTGACAATCTTTAGGGCCTTCCTCTGACACCGCCTGGTATAGAGGTCCTGGATGGCAGGGAGCTCAGCACCAATGATGTACTGGGCAGTACGCACTACCCTCTGTAGCGTCTTGCGGTCAGATGCCAAATGGTTAGCAGTGTTGGGGAAGCTACTCTGAAATCATAGTTTACCAAACTACCAATTAATTCATACTACTAAAGCTACCCTTAAGAAAAAATAGTTTACTTAACATTTAGCAGACGCTCTTATCCAGAGCGACTTACAGTTAGTGAGTGCATACATTTTTGTAGTTTTTTTGTGTGTTTTTTTTCATACTGGCCACCCTTGGGAATCGAACCCACAATCCTGGCGTTGCAAGCGCCATGCTCTACCAACTGAGCTACACGGGGCGCTAACAGAAGCTACTTTGAAAAAGTAGTTCACTACATCCAAGCTACTTCGGGAAAAATTATCGGATCTTAATCTGAAATGTCATAGACTGCAAATTGCATGAACAGATCACTCTGGGGTCAGATGTTAACAGAATGTCTAATTTAGCCTATTAAACACAAAGTGAGAATTAGGCAGGTCTAATGCAGAAAAAGAAAGGAAATTCTTGCCTATTTCACCCATATTTTCTTCTCTTTTTGCAAAAGAAAGTAGTGTGTAGTTCCAGTAGTTAGCCGCACCGCGTCATTGCAAAAAAGTGATTAACTACTGAAAACACTACCAAGATTTGAATTCAGTTCAAATTCCACCAAGCTACTGCAAAATGTAGTTTAATTACTAGTTACCAACGCTGTGATAGACACTGACTAGGGCCCTCACAGGGCTGACACTGTCATCTTGATTTCAATATGTACAGATGTAGGATCTTACTTTGATCACTCTTTGGTTGCTGAGAATCTTTCTGCACCGCAGGAAATGTAGATGAGCTTCGTGATTTACATAACTTCAGTGAAAGCCCACACTAACACACGGTTATATTAACAGTATTGCACTTTTCATGTAGCCTACTTTTGGCCAGCTAAAAGCCTAACCACCAATCAAGCAACATTATGGTCCAAACGTTCAAATCCTGTTGTAGGATCTTCATTTGACCTATATTGTCACCGCAACATCTTAACATTTAGCCCATAATGTTGCTTGATTGGTGGTTAGGCTATTAGCTGGCCAAAAGTAGGCTACATGCAAAGTACAATGCTGTTTCATTAGCTCCATTACCGTTTTTAGCACTATAATGAATAAAGTGGTTGGTGATTGTGTTGAAGCCTAATAGCTACGCTCAATCATGGACTGTTTGTGTGCTCCCATCCTATTCATTGGTACAACTTCAATTTCAAGTGGCTTTTAAGTAAAAAAAAAAAAAAGTTACAGCATACAGTAAAGAGCGTATTTTGAATCTGTTGGACCACATCCTTTTTAGAGGACAGGTTTCCCCCGTGGTCATCAAATTCAACACCCTCAGCAAAGTCAGTCACACTTCCTTTCCCTCCTTCCCCAGGTCCTCTCACTAGGCGCAGATGTTCTGCCAGAGTACAAGCTCCAGACCCCTCGCATCCATAAATGGACCATCCTTCACTACAGCCCCTTCAAGGCGGTGTGGGACTGGGTCATCCTGCTCCTGGTCATCTACACTGCCATCTTCACCCCCTACTCCGCGACCTTTCTCCTTAGTGACCAGGAGGAGGTGGCCATGCAGACCTGTGGTTACTCCTGCTCTCCGCTCAACGTGGTGGACCTCATCGTTGACATCATGTTCATCGTTGACATCATCATCAACTTCAGGACGACGTACGTCAACACCAACGACGAGGTGGTCAGCCAGTCACAGCGGATCGCTGTGCATTATTTCAAAGGCTGGTTCCTTATAGATATGGTGGCGGCTATCCCATTTGACCTGCTCATATACCGCTCAGGAGAAGAGGTGAGGAGATCTGGGTGTTATGGTTTTATTGTACCTATCCAAATGCTGCTGTGAGAGTCTGTTATAAGAATCTGTGCAAATATTTATTTATTCTTTCTTAAGTAAACTGACACAGTGATAATAATAAAAAAGCTTGGTTTTATGACTAGGTGTCCTACATGTGTGAATGACCTGTGTTTGACCTCTTTCTGACTTGTACCGTTTTAGACAACAACCCTGATTGGCCTGTTGAAGACTGCTCGGCTGCTGCGATTGGTGCGCGTAGCTCGGAAGCTGGACCGATACTCTGAGTACGGAGCGGCCGTCCTATTCCTCCTCATGTGTACCTTTGCCCTCATCGCTCATTGGCTGGCCTGTATCTGGTACGCCATTGGTAATGTGGAGCGTGCAGGAGCAGCCCGGATTGGCTGGCTGGACTCTCTGGGTGACCAGCTCGGTAAACCCTACAATCAGACTATACCAGGGTCAGGTCCCACCATAAGGGACAAGTATGTGACAGCACTCTACTTTACCTTCAGTAGTCTGACCAGCGTGGGCTTTGGAAATGTCTCACCCAACACCAACTCTGAGAAGATCTTTTCCATCTGCGTCATGCTCATCGGCTGTAAGTCACAATTATAAACCCTCAATACACAAATAAGTATTGCTTAATACACAGGCTATGCCTCTATTAATCCATGATTTGAAATTTGACAACACATGAATGGACAATGTGTAATTATGGATTATGTTTATTGGATGTGTTCGACCTATTGGATAGCCCCCAGGGATGTTCATTTTACTGTATCGTATCTAATAATATAAAAAGCTGTACATTTTGATTACATGCACAAAATCATCATGTTTTCCTAGGATTGTAATGTTACATGTTTCATTTTTGGCAATATGCTAAGACCTCAATCTCGGTTCTCCTGTGTATCAACAGCTCTGATGTATGCCAGCATCTTTGGTAACGTGTCAGCCATCATCCAGCGGCTGTACTCCGGCACGGCTCGCTACCACACCCAGATGCTGCGGATTCGAGAATTCATCCGCTTCCACCAGATCCCCAACCCACTGAGGCAGCGGCTAGAGGAGTACTTCCAACATGCCTGGTCTTACACTAACGGCATTGATATGAACGCTGTGAGTCAGACACACACACACACACACACACACACGCACACACACACGCGCACACACACACACACGCACACACACACACACACACTGCTACTTGTTCTGGTAATTTAAGTGTGGCGAAATGGACACAAAGTAGTACTTGTAAAAAGGCAACACACAGTGGTCGACACAAAAGACAAACAAACTGATGTCTCTCCACTCCTAAATGTTGTCCAGGTGCTGAAGGGCTTCCCAGAGTGCTTGCAGGCTGATATCTGCCTGCACCTCAACCGCATCCTGCTGGAGAACTGTAAGGCCTTCAAGGGCTCAACTAAGGGCTGCCTGCGGGCCCTGGCCATGAGGTTTAAGACCACCCACGCACCGCCAGGCGACACCCTGGTTCACGCCAGTGACGTCATCTCAGCCCTTTACTTCATCTCCCGTGGCTCCATAGAGATCCTGAGAGGGGATGTGGTGGTGGCCATCCTGGGTAGGTTATCATCTAAACTGCATTTCCATATGGCACAATAAAGATTTACTTGATTTGAATTGACTTGACTTGGTAATATCAGCCCTATCCTAAAACAGTGGCTTTTAACCTGTATATTGTTGCAGAGGCTTTGAACCCAGTCTCTCTCATCTCCTCCACTAGTTGAGATATGCCTCCATAGCCCTCCACAATGTTTGGTGTAACAGCCCCAGCTAGTGGTTACTATGGGTTAGTCACAAGAATTCGAGAGAGCACATCCACTCAGAAATCTTGTAAATCGCTATAAATTAATACAGAAAAAGTACATTACATATTCATTAATAACATATTGTCTATGAATATACACTATCAGAAGCATATAATGTATCCATTTTGATCATATTTTAAATAGATATGGTATCATCTACTGTAGCTTCATCCAGTAAACAATCTCTAATTTCCTTCCTGCAGGTAAGAATGACATCTTTGGAGAGCCCATTAACCTGTATGCCCGTCCAGGGAAGTCCAATGCAGACGTGAGGGCTCTGACCTATTGTGACCTCCATAAGATCCACAGAGAGGACATGCTAGAGGTGCTGGACATGTATCCTGAGTTCTCTGACTACTTCTGGGGGAACCTGGAGATCACATTCAACCTCCGGGATGTGAGTGGGATTTTTGTTACAGAATCTTGCCACTAATGCCTTCCTAGAAAGTCAGATTCAGGTGAATTTACTGTCTCTTATCTTTAAGTTTCAAATGTTTTGACTAAAGAAATCACTCTATTTCAGGCTGCCACGGTAGCTGGCTCAATGAGCAGTGAGGACTCTGACCATGGTGGAGTCAGCCGTCGCATTCACAGACAACAAATGTCTCTCAGTCGCAGCTTGGACAGAGGTGCGGTACCCTGTTAGTCAAGTACTCTGGCTAGTAGTGCACTAAATAGGGAATAGGATACCATTTGGGACAAACCTTATTTCTGCATTCTTTGCCTCACCTCACAGATGCAGGGGAGACCAATCCATCCCAGAGACCTGTCCGCAGGGCCAGAGGCCAGAGCTCCAGAGACCAGGGAGATGGGCAGAACACAGAGTCTGAGGGGCTGAGGAACTCCGCCTTTTCTCCTTCCCACTCCAGCAGAGATGAGGAGACAGTGTTAACCAGCCATGTACAACCAACTTCACTAATGGGGATGCCCTATAGTGAGACCAAAATCCTCAACGGCAGCAGTGCTTCAGAAGACGAGATTAACCAGAAAACTGGCAATACTTGCAACGCTCTCTCAGGTAGACATCCATTCATGAGCACTACCTTTATAAAAACTTTTGCCTTTGTGTTAGATCTCAGTGGTGTTATTTTTCTCCATTGATGCACCAATATAATAGCCACACATGCTGCTATTCATGTCAGTACAGTATACTGTATGAATCTGATGTAGATATTGTATGAGCTGGACTAGCTGTCAGTTAACCTCCCCTCTCTATCAGGGGCTTTCTCAGGCGTCTCCAACATCTTCAGTTTTTTGGGGGAGAGCCGCGAGCAGCAGCAGTATCAGGAGGTACCCTGCCACAGCCAGCCCTCCCCTCCCCCTCATCCTCCCCCTCTCAATGTTGCCTCTCTCAACATCAGCCGACGGCAGCGCAGCGAGCTGGAGAACAGGCTGGACCTGCTGCAGAGACAGCTCTACAGGTCAGAGAATTCCATATTTAGTGCACTACTTTTGACCAGGGCCCAGGGTATAAGGTGCCATATGGGATGCAGTCTATGACATCCCAAACCTTTGCTGTTGGGAGGCTGTGTCTGCCTTTAACTGAGTGATAATAAGATGACCAAAATACTGTTTACAATAACTATTTACTATAGTGACACTGGGTACTTTAAGGATGGAAGGATTGAAGTTTAAATGTGGTTGTACAGTGCCTTGCAAAAGTATTCATCCTCCTTGCCGTTTTTACTATTTTGTTGCATTACAACCTGTCATTTAAATGGATTTTTATTTGGATTTCATGTAATGGACATACACAAAATAGTCCAAATTGGTGAAGTGAAATGAAAAAAATTACTTATTTCTAAAAGATAAATAACGGAAAAGTGGTGCGTGCATATGTATTCACCCCTTTTGCTATGAAGCCCCTAAATAAGATCTGTTGCAACCAATTACCTTCAGAAGTCACATAATTAGTTAAATAAAGTCCACCTGTGTGCAATCTAAGTGTCACATGATCTGTCACATGATCTCAGTATATATACACCTGTTCTGAAAGGCCCCAGAGTCTGCAACATGACAAAGCAAGGGGCACCACTAAGCAAGCGGCACCATGAAGACCAAGGAGCTCTCCAAACAGGTCAGGGACAAAATTGTGGAAAAGTACAGATCAGGGTTGGGTTATAAAAAAATATCTGAAACTTTGAATATACCATGGAGCACCATTAAATCCATTATAAAAAAATTGAAAGAATATGGCACTACAGCAAACCTGCCAAGAGAGGGCCGCCCACCAAAACTCACGGACCAGGCAAGGAGGGCATTAATCAGAGAGGCAACAAAGAGACCAAAGATAACCCTGAAGGAGCTGCAAAGCTCCACAGTGGAGATTGGAGTATCTGTCCATAGGACCACTTTAAGCCATACACTCCACAGAGCTGGGCTTTAAGGAAGAGTGGCCAGAAAAAAAGCCATTGCTTAAAGACAAAAATAAGCAAACACGTTTGGTGTTCACCAAAAGGCATGGGGGAGACTCCCCAAACGTATGGAAGAAGGTACTCTGGTCAGATGAGACTAAAATTTGAGCTTTTTGGCCATCACGGAAAACGCTATGTCTTTTGCAAATCCAACACCTCTCATCATGGATGGCGCTAAATACAGGGAAATTCTTGAGGGAAACCTGTTTCAGTCTTCCAGAGATTTGAGACTGGGACGTAGGTTCACCTTCCAGCAGGACAATGACCCTAAGCATACTGCTAAAGCAACACTTGAGTGGTTTAAGGGGAAACTTTTAAATGTCTTGGAATGGCCTAGTCAAAGCCCAGACCTCAATCCAATTGAGAATCTGTGTTATGACTTAAATATTGCTGTACACCAGCGGAACCCATCCAACTTGAAGGAGCTGGAGCAGTTTTGCCTTGAAGAATGGGCAAAAATCCCAGTGGCTAGATGTGCCAAGCTTGTAGAGACATACCCCAAGAGACTTGCAGCTGTAATTGCTGCAAAAGGTGGCTCTACAAAGGATTGACTTTTGGGGGGGGGGTGAATAGTTATGCATGCTCAAGTTTTCTGTTTTTTTGTCTTGAGTGGCGCAGTGGTCTAAGGCACTGCATCGCAGTGCTAACTGTGCCACTAGATCCTGGTTCGAATCCAGGCTCTGTCGCAGCCGGCCGCGACCGGGAGACTCATGGGCGGCGCACAATTGGCCCAGCGTCGTCCAGGGTAGGGGAGGGAATGGCCGGCAGGGATGTAGCTCAGTTGATAGAGCATGGCGTTTGCAACGCCAGGGTTGTGGGTTCGATTCCCACGGGGGGCCAGTATAAAAAAAAAAATATGTATTCACTAACTGTAAGTCGCTCTGGATAAGAGCGTCTGCTAAATGACTAAAATGTAATGTAAATGTCTTATTTCTTGTTTGTTTCACAATAAAAAATATTTTGTATTTTCAAAGTGGTAGCCATGTTGTGTAAATCAAATGATACAAATCCCCCCAAAATCCATTTTAATTCCAGGTTGTAAAGCAACAAAATAGGAAAAATGCCAAGGGGGGTGAATACTTTCGCAAGCCACTGTAGCTGTGGTTGTAGATTCTGACTATTCTACTGTTATCCCTCAGGTTGGAGTCACGGATGTCAACAGACATCGGGGCCATCATGCAGCTGCTCCAGAGACAGACGGTGCTGGTGCCCCAGGCCTACAGCACTGTGTCCCCTGAACCGTCTGTCACCCCCACCCTCACCCCCAGGCCTGCAGAAAGGCTGGTGCAGCCTGCCTCACCACTGGACTCAGAGACCCTGGCCTCCTTCTCACAGGTACTGTCTACCACAATTTGCAACTGGGCACACTGATGTGGGACCATAAAAGCATCTTGGCTGATGAAAGACACATCTTCCAAATGATTGTATTTAGATTGAATGTGGTTATCAATTTAGTGAAGTTGATTTACGGATACACTGACATTCTTTGTTGATATTAAGGTCACAAAGTGCAGTTGAGGTCGTGTCATCAGTATGAACGCAGCACATTGGTTTGAGATAATTTGTTTTCGTGCAAAAGAATTGGGTTGAATACACCATTAACATTAGAATGTTGGGTGGAAATCTGCTAAGCCCACCGGGTGGTCTGGTCTAACCCCCTCTGGATGTAGGTCATCAGCTGGTTAAGACTATCATCACTAGTCTGGATCAATAGGAAACAAATGGTCAGTCTGTCTTTTGTAGCCTACTGTATATCAACCAATCATCCCACTTTGATGTTCACTCTGAGAGGGTATTCTGTAATTGTGTACTGTAGATCATTTTCTGATTCTTCTCACCTCTCACTCTTGTTCTTTACCTCAGTTCTTGGTCAACACAGACTTTGATGACAGCCCTTCCAAGTCCTGTGAGTCTCTGCACAGCGCGGTTGAGGTGCGTCTTCTGGAGCCAACCCCAATCCTGGACACTCTCCCCCAGACTCAGCCTCTTCGCATTAGCATCCACCCAGAGCATCACCCCCTGGGCTTGTCCAGCCATCCAGATACTGTGCCCTTAAGCCTGGTCAAACATGGGAACTTCTCAGAGTCAGTGCCCAGGTCAGGGACAGGATTGGCCCAGTCAGAGCCCTCGGATGGCCGGCGGCCGCTCTCCCTGCCTGGGAAACACACAGCTCTGGACCTGGAGAGTCCCTGGACTACTGCACACAGATACAGCTCTGACCCTGGGAGTTAGGGGCCATCCATGGCACTGTATGTGTAACACCTAACAGTTTCACTGTTTATGGACATGGAGTCAGAAGAGGAGGTAGTCAAACAGAAACATATCCAAACTGCTTCCCTCTCTGCCCCTGAAATACAATATCCTGGGCATCGTATAAGAATAGTTTTTGGTCCTCGAAGCATCACTCTTCACAGATGTATACTACCATTTGCAGTATTGTTTATGGAAACATATTTGTCGTTGTTAGTCAATATCTGTCTCTATATGTCCTTGTTGACTCCATGTAGGGGTCAACTGGAGTGTTAGCCGGTCTAACATTACTTTCTGTTTTGTCTTGTGGAGTTGTGATGGGAGAGCTGCTGCTAAGTTTCACTAGTCTACTGATGTTGCTGTACCGGCTGTCCGGCTCAATGGGTAAAAGCCATGAATTCTGGGATCCATATCAACTCCTTGAATTACTTAACTAAATTAGCAAGCAATATGCAAACTGTACAATTTTTCTGTTCTCTTATCATGGTGTAAATTGGATGGTTTCCTCTCTCCTTTGTCCTTGAGTTAGCCTAGATGTTGAATGAGATGGCGGGCGTGCTAAATGATGACATAATATCCTATCCTAGGCCAGCAGAGGATTACAGAATGATGATATAATCTACTGAATGAAGTATCTATCAGAACACATTAATATTCCATGATGCAGGCTGGCCAACTGGGCCTATTCACAGACTACTCAGTTACTGTAACAAGCAAAGCCAAGTGTAATGCCACTGCTAGAATGCAACTGTTAACACATGTAAGGGCAGGACCTGTATGTGATAGAACATTTTCGTTTAGGTTGTATCTCTTGTTTGATAAAAGATTTAGATTGAATGATTTATTGAAAATGCATTTGTGTATATATTTCAAGAACCTATCATTATGGTTTATTGATTAATTCTCAGTCTAAATAGTACCCTTACTTATCCTATTGTTATAGTTGTGTTACTGTCCAGTTCTGGGAAATAGATTACTGCAGGGAAAGTAGCTTGTAATGTAGGGATATAATGTAAAAATCAGATACAGTTATTGCTGGTGGCAGGTTTTGGCCAAAGTACAGTATTTATTGAATCAATTGAGTAGAGTTAATCTGTAGTTTGATTTAACTTTGATAATGAACATTTGAATGCTACTCTTGAATAAAAAGATGAACAAGAAATGCATTGTTTTGTATATGGGTCATACCTTGAAACTATTCAAACAAATGGCCAATTGAACAGGCCAATGCACATGTCTTATCACGTTTGTTCATATGTGTTTTACTAAACATGTATAATATGACTTTCAGTGGAAAGATATTTATTATAAATTCATGACTGTGTATACAATTCAGATAAAAGCACTACACTGATCTGGAAATCAGGCCTGTGCGAATCCACAGTAACTCATAAAACGGCTGGTCATTATCATGTCCTGAGATACCCTTTTGAAATTGCAGAGGTCATATATATACAGTGCATTCAGAAAGTATTCAGACCCCTTTACTTTTTCCACATTTTGTTACATTACAGCCTTATTCTAAAATGGATTAAATAAAAATGTGTCCTCATCAATCTACACACAATACCCCATAGTGACAAAGGGAAAACAGGCTTTTATACATTTTTGGAAATGTATTACAAATAAAAAACAGAAATACTTTATTTACATAAGTCTTCAGACCCTTTGCTATGAGATTCGAAATTGAGCTCAGGTGCATCCTGTTTCCATTGATCATCCTTGAGATGTTTCTACAACTTGATTGTAGTCCACTTGTGGTAAATTCAATTGATTGGACATGATTTGGAAAGGCACACACCTTTCTATATAAGGTCCCACAGTTGACAGTGCATGTCAGAGCAGAAACCAAGCCATGAGGTCGAAAGAATTGTCCGTAGAGCTCCGAGACAGGATTGTGTCGAGGCATAGATCTTGGGAAGGGTATCAAAATAATTCTGCAGCATTGAAGGTCCCCAAGAACACAGTGGCCTCCATCATTCTTAAATGGAAGAAGTTTGGAACCACCAAGACTCTTCCTAGAGCTGGCCGCCCTGCCAAACTGAGCAATCGGGGGAGAAGGGCCATGGTCAGGGAGGTGACCAAGAACCAGATGGTCACTCTGACAGAGCTCCAGAGTTTCTCTGTGGGGATGGGAGAACCTTCCAGAAGGACAACCATCTCTGCAGCACTCCACCAATCAGGCCTTTATGGTAGATTGGCCAGACGGAAGCCACTCCTCAGTAAAAGGCACATGACATGGTGGTGGCAGCATCATGCTGTGGGGATGTTTTTCAGCGGCAGGGACTGGGAGACTAGTCAGGATCGAGGGAAAGATGAACGGAGCAAAGTACAGAGAGATCCTTGATGAAAACCTGCTCCAGAGAGTTCAGGACCTCATACTGGGGCGAAGGTTCACCTTCCAACAGGACAACAACCCTAAGCACACAGCCAAGGCAACGCAGGAGTGGCTTTGGGACAAGCCTCTGAATGTCCTTGATTGGCCAAGCCAGAGCCCAGACTTGAACCCAATCAAACATCTCTGGAGAGACCTGAAAATAGCTGTGCAGCAATGCTCCCCATCCAACCTGACAGAGCTTGAGAGGATCTGCAGAGAAGAATGGGAGAAACTCCCCAAATACAGGTGTGCCAAGCTTGTAGCATCATACCCAATAAGATTAGGCTGTAATCGCTGCCAAATGTGCTTCAACAAAGTACTGAGTAAAGGGTCTGAATACTTATGTAAATGTGATATTTCAGTTTTAATTGTTGTATAAAAAACAATGTAATTTTAGAATAAGGCTGTAACGTAACAAAATGTGGAAAAAGTCAAGGGGTCTGAAAACTTTACGAATGCGCTGTAGATGTGTTTGATACCGTTCCATTCATTCTCTTCCAGCCATTACAATGAGCCTTTTCTCCTATATCTCTGCTCACCAGCCTCCTCTGATGAAGTGATTTAAAGACATAGCAATGTTATATCATATATAGTCCATAATGGATGGACAAGACCAAAGTCAGAGGGGGACAGGCGTAGGCCTATGGATAAGCAGCAACATTGTAACTATAGATGAAAGGCACTTTAGATTTGGCTGGTCCAACAATGGCTTCATCTGCCAGGGATTATTTACCAAATCAAATGAGACCTGTAATCTCTTAATCTTCTAGAAAGCTCTGCATTACAGCACAGCAAGTGAATCTGTTTGGATGGCAGCAGTGGGATGGGATCAGAGGTCTCTCCTTGGGTCATGGTCTTAGATGTTTTAACACCTGGCTGGTCTGTCTTTGTTTACCTCATTAACTGAGAGAGACAGGTTTTTATTAGTGTCACTGAGGTCAGGGCAACATGCCCAAGGATAAAGCAACACAGCTGCAGACCATTAATCCGGGAGAGTAGGCTAAAGTTACACATGCGCCTGTAACACTAATTAGATTTCGTAATAACAGGCTGAGAGAGACAGGCTATGTTTCCATTGTGATGATGAACAGAGAGACTACAGAATGTAGGCTATCCCTGCATATATTTGAGTGAGACTAGCGGCAAAATGCGCAACTGGCATTGAGAGCTGCCTCCATATTGACATTCAGTAGGCTACCTATAGTGCCCATACAGTGTAAACAGAACTTTTATCTACTGTTACAATGATAGGTCAAATTTCGTCACTTGGGTGTACTGGTGTAGGGATGGCGACGATAGTTCATTCTGCACAATCACATCAGCTGTCCTTCAACAGATGTGGGCGGCATCCACGGAGGACCGGCACGCCGCCGAATCCTGTGCGCGGATGGGAATCATGTGCCGCGCTGACAATCTCTGCGTCAAACATAGAGAATCAAACGAAACACGGCAGCATTTCTCGACTGTGATAGGCTGAGCGTGGAGAAGGAGGTGGGCTGTTTTCCTGCGTTCAGCGAGTGAAGCGCACTGTACGAGAAGGTGGAACAGACTTCGACCAGCGACATCCACGACAACCATTGAGAACTGATCAAAAAGAGACAGCATTGGGTGAGTAAAATGATGAATAATGACAATTGACAGGAATACTACAGGTCAGGCGATTGTCTGGGTTGCAATATTTGTGTGTTTTGCTAGATTTCTTCCCATGCCCCAGAGATGTAGTAATTATTGATGAATGGTTACACGTTTATTACGCAGCAAGAAGCTCACAATATGCAGAATAAACGCAATTCCAGCCTGGTTGACTATGATGATAATGCGCCCTATTCTTTGTTGATACAATATCACATTCTACCCAAATGAATGTTTACATATCAACAGTGGACGTGTTTGATTCACTCCCACCACGACCTATGCAGAAAATTCTCTTTGTTGTGGTGCCGCAGTTGAGAGTTAAGGCCAAAGGATGCTGACTGTAGACAGGTGTCCACCGCATCGCATATAGGTCCACGCCAACAGAGTTGACATTGATCGTCTTTACATAAATGTGATATTATGCAGCTTCGGCATTATAATTCATTAAGATAACACCGATAGATGCTTAAAGAGTGCACTGCCACAAGGCTCATCCCTGCGGAAACGACGAATACCACACAAAGCCCCCCTCTCTATGTTGTATCTGTGCTGTGGATTAGGACACATTGTTCTCCGTCCATGTGTATTGTGTAGCGCCCTTCTCTCTTGACTGCAGCCGTACGGTGCATGTAGGTAGGCCTATTGTGTGTTGCGCAAACATGGTTCTGTATGCATGTGATCTATGCCCTCTGTACTGGACTGCAGTCGTCTTAGACCATGCACTTTGATTTGTTTCGTTTTTTATTCTCAGGTTTATTGCTCCTTTTCAAACAACAACGTTTATGTAGTCAGACAGACAGACAAAGACACACTATAGATAAATGGACCAAGTAGACAGACAATAGACATACTGACCAATGACTGTATATGGCACAGACAGACAAATAGACAGGCATGCTTGGATTAGTAGAGATGGCCTAATGCATGCCATGAAATGTATCTCTCTCAGTCCTCTGGAATTGTGGGATTA